GGGGGGGGCAAATAATGTTATATTTAAGAATTATTTAACAAGTTATTATTAATGGTAATTTATAGTATTACAAAATCTATCATAATTAACTTTCATAGAATACAATTTAAAAAATTAGTTCCTAATATTGTGAAATAAATTAGTTTGTGACAACACAAGATCCTCCTATTCCCTCATTATGATATGATGAAATAACTATGCATAAATTATTTCACAATAATAGTTTCACATAATATCATAGTACAAGTGACTCATGAGTAAGGATAAAAATTTTGTTTCAGTGTATTGTTTCGATCACCTAGGAAACGAAAATAATTCGACGTGTTTCGGAAACGTTTCGACCCGTTTCGAAAAAAGAATAAAAAAAATAAAAAATTTAAGAATTTATTTTTCAAAACATTGATTGAAATATCTTGAAACATTCTAAAATAATTGTGCAAATGCATTGAAATATAACAAAATACATTATAGAATACCTCAAAGTATTAGAATTTGGATTTCATCACTGATTCGTTTCGGTCTCTTTGTAAACGAAACGTTTCAGATGTTTCGACCGTTTCTGAACAATATTTTGATCCTTGGTCATGAGTCAACGCATTGGTTTGATGTAAGTCTTGTTTGTAATTTGATTTTTCAAAAATTTCACTTGTTTTTAATTTCCTTTGGTCATCAAACTTGGATAATCAAATATTTTTTATTGCATGAACATCACTCATCCAAGTGATCATAGTTACTCAAAATCGCTAAACCCTTGACGACCTACGTTCTACATATAGCGATCCCAAATAGGGGGTTCGCGATCCAAATCACGTAAATGTCCGACCCTAAATTATAATACTAATTTCAAATCGATTCGCTTTAGAACATGTATCACAAATGTTAAATAAAAATTAATTAATTATGTGTGCACGGATATCATTATGTATAACTTCAGATAATAGGAAATTGAGCACAACTGTAAAACAAATAGTAATTGACTACGTGTTTATGAATGTACTATTATATGTTATTTCATACACTAGTGAGAGCAATTTAGACAGGGGTTCCAAAACGAATTGCGACCCAAAACACTATACCAACTAAGTCTACTCCTATCGTATCGCGAACCTAAAAAAGTATCGTACCTTAAACCGTGATGTGATTACATCCAGCTGATTCCAGGTAACATTGCATGTGATTACATCCGTAATTGGTTATTAAGTATCAACCCATTGACCTTTTAAAAAAAAACTAAGTGAACTGCCGATATATAAGGTTTTTGAAGTGTTGTAGAGATTCTCAAAAAATGTGAGGACCATGGCCCCCTAGGCCCACCTAATGGCATTTCACACTATAATTGGCATACTAGCCACATAAGGGTAATATCTTGTGAGCTTATAAACAATCTCTAATGTAATGTTGATTGTTGGATAATAGATTAACTTGTAATGAAAGGGGTTCTAGATAGCTTGAGTGTCCAACTCAAATCGAATTGGCAATGACTGGAGAGGCTCACAAGGCTCATATACTAGTTTGGAAGAACATATACCGATGTGGAACAAGCTCGAACACTCTCCACACGTGCGACTACCACTTGCAAGGGAGATGTAGACAGAAGAATCAAAAGTTATAATCAATACTGAATCAATGAAAACAAAATAAAGAGACGTGTCCAAAGCCTCCCAAGTCCGTCTCTTGTACCATGTCAGAAGCATCCAGCCAAAATCAATTGACAATGGGTGGAGAGACTCCTCAACCTTCTAATCAATGTTGGATGGATCTAATCTTTCAATATGGGTAATTAGACATGAAATATGCATAATTGTCATTATTATTTATTGGTTAATTGCACTAGTTTTGCAGTTAGGATCATTTAAATAACGAGTTTCCCAGGTTTTTCTCTATTTTGTAGTGTTCACATGTTTTATAGGTAAATATATCAAAAGAAGTATTTTTGGGTGCAAGCATGCAAAAAGGGATGAAGTTTGGATAATTTGAAGTAAAGAAACAGACTTGGACAGAATGTTACTTGTGTCCAGATGGAGAAAAACTACTGGAAATTGAAGACAAAGGAAGAATAAGAAGATTTTCCACAAGGTTTCTTTGGTGTGCCCAAATGTATGAAACGTGCATTTGGACGCGATTGGCGAAATTGGGCAGAAGAGTTACATGCGTCCGAACATGACCCCGTTTTTGCCTGGCACTAGTTCCTTAAATTCTATTAGGTTTAGGCTTTCCTAATTACCTATATATACTTTTATTAACCCTAAATCAAGGTAGGCTCCAGCTTCAGTCTTTTTCTTCTAGTTTTTGTTTTTTTTTTTGTTCATGGATTGCTAAATCCATAACTAAAGCAGGAGGTGATTCTTCAATAAAACACCGCATTTATTTTTGATCCGATGTTCTTCAATGCATAAATTTTCTAATTAATTGATGCTTAATTTTAAGTCAAGTTTTTGCTCCATAAAATCTATTGATTTATTATGTCACATACATCAAATCATTTACATTCCTTGCAAGTCAAATAACTGGTTTTGTATGGCTGAATCAATTAATTAAGATTTACATAAAAATAATTGATTTCCTACTTCTCATAGAAAATTGTTTGGATTATTAGAAAACTTGATTTATCATAGACTCCAAGTACTTGTATGCTTGTGATCTACAGTTTAATACTAATTTTTATCCAATCAATTTATCAATTATATTTTCGAGATTTGTTTTCAATATTGTTGCCGCTAAATCTTTCTATTAAGATCACTACTCAATTGATTCTTAATTGAGTTCAAAAACTAGATCAAAAAAAATATTACGTGGAGTTGAAAGAGAATCTTTGATGCTTTAGTATTTTTCAAATATTGTTTTACCCAAAATTTATTGTTTCCTTCAAATTCAATTTACTCAATCTTTCAAAAGCTTTTTTTATTTTCAAATTCATTGTGTTCATACTTTCACCAATTCTTTGTGGTACGACTTCGAACTACTGATAAATTTATGACTTTGCACAATTTACACTTGGATGAATAATCTTAAAGTTGTAGCAAAGGAATTCAAGCTCTCGTCAAACATTCTCTTATGTGCGACCGGAGCTCGCATGTGGGTTAGCAAACTAAACCGAAACGAACTGACAAATTAAGAAATTCAAATGGGTTATAGATCTTGTTTTTAGCCTACTAATCTCATTGAAGTTTGCAAATGTATACTATGGAGTTGATATAAATCATCTCTCTTTTGAACACAACCAAATATGTTACAAAATGAAATGACATATTAATAATATTTGTATTTTGTACTTATTTGAAATTTATAGCTCTTATTAGTAACAGAATGACTCACAACCGTTCTATTAGTAGCCATTCTTTGGCTATGCCCTCCAAATTACCAGATAATTATTATGTTTCGGGCAACAAGATTCTATCAGATCCCTCCAACCATATACTGAAAAGATATGCATGATCATGTAAAGCAATATTCAACTGAAAAATTTGTGGCTACTTTACGTATTTTATACCTTTTAAGGACAAAATATTGCTTTCTGTGGTGAATGGATTGGGTTTAAGTTTACAAATGCGAACCTGCATAAAATGTACATATTAAAACGCTACATCACTGAAAAAACTACTTAGCATATTTCCCTAGATTCATAAAGAAAGATACTTCACCATTCCACTTTGATCTCCGGAAATGAGTCGTGATTCACTATCAAAATACAATGCTGTCACGGATATACCACTTAAAGAAAAATCATCCTCACTCTGCATGATTGAAGAAAAGAATAAGCACAACTCCAAAAACATTTTCCAATATTCAAAATAGAAGAGACGAAAAATATTATATGGACTTAGTAATTTTTCTACAACATTCTTGTTTGCTTTCTGTTGAAGTATAAATACTCAAGTTCACCTAACTTAAGCTTTTAGAATATACTGTGTTTGAATCTTACCACCACTCTGATAATTAAAGGATTTTCAAGTGCTAGGCCCAAAGGGGGCGTGTTGAATTACAAATTCTTAAGTTACATCCTTCTAACAACTTAAACTTTTACCCAGCATCTACCCAAATCAAGGCCAAATTGTAGTCCAAGAGATTTGGTGGTCTTTTGTAGAAAGATTGAGAGGAAGGATTTAAAGCCACAAAAAAATATGAAAGTCCAAAACTTTGAATCCACTTGTTTAGGATAAAAGATGGGAAAATTAACTATCCTACAAAAAATTTTATTAGTTAGTTACAACTTACAATGTGTCCAACACTCTATTGCCATTACCATCACCATCTTACCACCTACAATGCTATTGATATCATCCTAACCATTACAGGTTATATTGCCACTAAGATCACTACTAGACATTCTCTTTGACAGTGCCTCGGGAATAACCATCACTAAACTTCAACCCGGTCATGAAGATTACCACCATCACTGCCACATTGAAATTTCCACAATGCCGGTGCCACCACCACCTTACTTTTGCCACTGCCACATTCGTTGACATAATATTCTCAGCATTGTAATTGCCACTTTTGCGCAATCAAAAGTCCCACCAAAATAACGCAAGCTTAATCAACTCATCCAAGTAACAAACTTTGTAATGAAGATATTTTCACTCCCTTTCATCAAAAATTCCCTTATCCAAAATGTCCTGAACTATCACAAATTCTTTGTCCGATCACACTAATATTTCCTGCATGTTTCAAGGATGCCTCCTTCAATTGTTCTATTTATATGTTCCTATTAATTGATTTATACAACAAAAAATATGTAACACCCCGCATTTTCTTTTATATATGTATATAGATATATAGTAAATAATTGTGGTAAAAAAAAATGTGGATATATGTAGTGATGTGTGTTTGAATTTGGTAGATTGAAAAAATAGAGATTTAAAATGTTAGCGAAAATAATAGTTGAAATTTGGTTTTAATAAGTGAAAATATGAAATTTTAGGTCCTATGACTTGTATTAAATAGGTTTGGTGTAGAAATGTGTTGGAGAGGTTTGTGATGGATTTGGTTGGCTTAGAAATGGATTGAAAATAGAAAAGGGACGAAGACAGGCTATGAACAGTGCACTGCTGCAACTTCAAGCTTGATTTAGACCTTGATGCAATCAATATCTCTCAAAACTCAAAACATGAAAGTTTTAGAGCTCTTTCATATCATTCCATAGCATCTTGAATCATCTCAATCGGAGCTTGGATGAGAGAGTTATGCTCAGATAACGAAACGATGTCGCAATAGTCCAATTAGCTTCGTTTTTGCATCCTAAATCAAAATATAAGAATAATGAGTACTTTTAGGCTTCAAATAAGTATAAAAGGCTTTAAGAAACACCCTTTATCACCTTTTATTTGCAAACATCGCAAAACTTCAGTAATAGCCGATTCAGATGGGTAAAATAGAAACTTTAGTGTTTCGGGTGTACGTCGACTTGGGTTTTGAGATAAATCATAAAAATAAATATTTTTAGGTTAAAATAACATTAAAAATGAATCCGGAACGTTGACAAACCTTAGGGTAGTCATATGGATCAAATTGGAGATTCTTAGTGGTAAAACCGTAAATTTGGAGAAACCCAAAACAGCCTGTGAACAGTATTTTTCGGGGCTGCTATGTTTTAAACTCATTTT